TTTAAGCTTGCATGCGTGAAAAAGATGAAGATCAAGCAGCTCTCTCTCTCTCTCTCTCTCTCTCTCTGTCACTCTCTGTCACTCTCTCTCTACCCAAAAGAACCGAAAACCATAGAACACTTGTGTTTTTATATATTAACAGGGCTTTTGGCCCTCTCTTTCTCTTTCTCTCTCTCTCTCTCTCTCTCTCTCTCTCTCTCTCTCTCTCTCTCTCTCTCTCTAGACAATCTCCATGACTGTCTCGATCATGGAAATTTTTATTTAATTTTGTAAATTGTGAAAAAAATGGAGGGCAAAGAGGAGTGAAAAGGGTGTTGGGAAAAGACTGAGGGGGGAGTTGGGATTTGTGGGCCGTGTGATTGAGATCCGACGGCGGAGAGAGATGGGGTATATGACCGTTGGGGGTTGTCGGTGAAATATGACCGTTGGGGGGAAGGGGGGGTTTGGTGTACGGAAATGGGGTTGTGTGGACACGTAGTGCGCACGTGCCTGTGCCTGCTTTCCTCCTGCCTGCACTTCACTCGACCGTTCGAGTACAATCATCATTGGGGCTTTTTTTTATATTTGGATTCTGTTTAATTTCCACTTAACTTAATTAAGTATGGTTTAAACTGTTAAAGCATACTTAATTAAGTTAAGTGGAAATTAAACTTTAACTTCCTTAACTTCTTTCAGGGCCCCCTGAGTCCTGACTAAGCAGATTTTTGACACGTGGTGGCCAAAGCTTCTGCCATGTATACTTCTTCCACTTCTGTATTTATATTGTTTTTAACATCTAGGAAATATATTAATATGGAAAATAAATTCGAATTTAGAATTTCTTTCGACACGTACGCATTATCGATTTCTATTTTTAAATAACGTGAATCAAACCTACAAAGAGCTGACATGCATTAAAGGCGAGTAATCAACCTTGTGCTCACATCCAACTAATTTTTAACATTCTCTTTCGACATTCATACGATAAAAACTGTTAAAACAACATCTAGTTAATACGTGATTATGTAGTAAACTTTATGTGCATCCTCTTGCAAACAAAACATTTTACATTAGGACAATTCTTAGTTTCTAACCGTTTAGTCTTGGAACCCAATTTTCATACCCCAAATGGACCTTTAATGTTCATACCCCACTTGTTCTCTTAATTTCAATGTTGAATGACCTTTTCACATTGTAAAATATAGATAGAACCCAAGAATTATTGAGTTTGAAAACAAGAGGACAAATGCTGTAGTATTATTCGTCCACTTCACTGAGCAAGAAAATGAACTCTTCAACGGTCAGGATCCAAGTATTATCCTATTACGCTTAAGAGTTTAAATTATAATATATCAATCTACATGTTGTTTCTGCTAGACAATCAATGTATAATCATAAGTGTTGATGTTTATCCTTGAGTTTTTGTGTTATCATATATATAAGATGTGAATTATAACGATGAATAATACATTATCTTAAAATCCGTTAACGTGTAGCATTCTTATGTTAGATATCTAAATTACCAATCTTAACTGAACTACCTATTTGTAGCATTACAAAGTAAATTGTTACACATCTGTGAAGAAAGTTTTTCTCGAATTTATATAAAAGGGAGGTATTCGTTGATTTATCCTCTGAACTTATATCGAGCTGTCAATTTACTCACTCAATTTTTATTTTCGTCAATTACTACCCTAAACTTTTATTAATAGCTGATTACCACCATGCCGTTAGATTTTCAAATTTACCATCTGTTTTACCCACAATCGTGGGGAATCTGATTGGTATGTGATAAATTTTAACGAAAAATTAAATGGAAAATTGGAAAATCTAATGGCATGATGGTAATCAGCTATTAATAAAAAAAAATCACTAAGGTAATTAGTTAAAATAAAAGTTGAAGAGATTAAATTGGCAGTTTAGTATGAGTTCAAGAGGAAATTGACTGATACGTTTATAAAAGGAGTAATGTTTCAAAACTCATATGGTGGATGAGAGAGAGAGAGAGAGAGAGAGAGAGAGAGAGAGAGTAATGACACTTGCATTTGCATAGAAAAGGTACAAGGCTAGGGTAGGGGGAAGTTTGGTTGAGCATTTACAATTGAGAGATGTTATTATACAAGTAGTGGAATATGTGTGTTAAAAAGTTAATAACTTAAAAAATAAAATTTTTCATCACTTTTATAAAAACACATGGTGTATCATCCGTATTCTAGTCAAAATGAAAATTTTCTCTTTACCATGCAACATTATTGATAATCCCCAAATGCTTACAAACAGGATTGGGAGAAATTTTTCAGTGTGACTGGTACACGGGATAATATACCACGTGTCACTATATAAATGGTAAGATATGTGTGTTAAAAAGTTAATAACTTAAAAAAATAAAATTTTCCAACATTTATATAACAACACGTGGTATATCTCTCGTGTTTCCGTCACAATAAAAATATCTCCTAAAATGAATGGAATTACAACCCTATAGGTAATTAGGTAATTAAGTATAGGTATAGAGGCCATAATAATTCTGCAAACTCTTTTGATTTGAAACGAAAAACGTCAAAAGTGTAAAAAGACGGTTAAAGTAGTAGTCTAAAGATGCTGTAAGATATAACGTATATGATTGACAACACCGAAAACGAATCCACCAAAACGATAATATTCCTCCTCTACACCCAAAAAGTCCAATGTCTCTTGTTTTGCGACCCTATTTCTTTACCGTTTACCCTTTCAACTTTCTGCTTTCTTCGTTCTTCTTTCTAGAGGATTCGGATGCACAGTTAACCAGAAAACGTAATTAAATCAAACAGCTGAGTGACTTCGGTGATACGGGTAGAACGTTAATATGACGTCTTGTACTGTACAAGTTACTCTTCTCACGAAGCATTAACGGTATAAAATTCAAGGGTCAGCCTCTACACCCAAAGGTTCCAACAGGATCTTGCATATTAGCATTCGTTTCTCCTTCTGCGCATGAAAACAAATTTGAAAAGATTTTATATGGTACTCGTTAAAAAGGATCCGACGCTCTGAACATTTTTACTCTATAATCTTTGATCAAAAACATAAAAAATTTAAAATATAACAGTTATAAAATTCAAAATACTCTAAAACACCGGAGAATTTCTGAATATTTTGATGAGTTATTGACATCTTAAATTTTCAAGTATCCAAAGGGTTTGTTCCGACCTAATGCCTAGGTTGAGCGATGGGTGGTCGGAATTCAGTTTATACAAATTAAGAGTAGAAATTGTCTTTATGCCGTAGCCGTTTAACATTATATGATCAATGCTCCCACAGCTTAAATCCAGGGGACGAATAGACACAACGAAAGATCATGCAAAAAACGGCAGTAATAAGAAAATGACATCAGAACACATCGTTCCAACTTCCAAAAGCTAGGAGTGCAACTCAGGTGCGTTGGGCGGGTTAGATCGTCAACCCAATCCTAACCCAACATTCCTAACTTGGGTTTCGATTGGGATTGAGTTCATACGGGTTTATTTGGATAGGGTTCGGGTTTATCCAATTTTATTAAATACAATCTTTTAACACATTATTTCATAAGATAAATCTCAAATTTTGAACCAAATAACGCAAAGCTATTTAAAATTCAATTTTACACATCTCCATTCATACCGAAAACAAGTCAAATGCATATTTCAAGTTTCAACCATGCAAAGTTGAAATTAAATGAAAAAACAATACCAACGTTTTAACAAATAAAACATAAAAGTGACTATCATTTATTTTCAAATGAAAGCCAAACAACATTCATTTATTTTCAAATGAAAAGCAAACAACATTCAACTATAGCTCTTCCAAACTTGTATGTAGCTCACATAATATGAAGTGGAACGGCTAATGCGTGCATGAGCAATTCGAACAAGAAATCAGGTTGAATATGGGTTGACATGAACGGTAGGGGTGGGCGCGGTGCGGTTTGGTGCGGTTTCGAATGAAACCACAACCGAAACCGAAACATTTTGCGGTGCGGTTTTGAAGCCAAAACCGAAATGAAATCAAACCGTTCGGTTCGGTGCGGTGCGGTTTCAAACGGTTTCGGTTTGGTTTTTGAGAAAAAAAATGTACAATTTAAAATATACACCTATTTATGCATAAGACGGTCTTATTTTTCTTGTATATTAATTAATGAATATGCAGTAAAATTGCAGCAAAACTGCATAAAAAACAGCAGCAAAAACTGCACCAAAATTGCACCCAAAAATAATGCAGCAAAACTGCATTAAAAAACAGCACCAAAAACTGCACCAAAACAGCCCCAAAACTGCACCAAAAAACTGTACAAAACAGAACCAAAAATCTGTACAAAACAGAACCAAAAATCTGCACCAAAAGTGCAGCTAACTTGTACCAAACTTGTACCAAAACTGCAACAAATGACAACTACTAAAATTGAGACAACATCCAATGCATCAAAGGATTTAAACTTTAAATCCTTATGCATCACATCTATTAAAATTGAACTTGATCACCAATCACAATACTTTACAATCCAATTGAAAGGTTAAGTTTGCCATAATACAAACCTATAAGTTATAACCTAGTTGAAAAGTTTAAAATATAAGTTATATAACATTTATTTATTATATGGTGCGATTTCGGTTTCGGTGCGGTTTTGAAAACCCAAAACCGAAACCAAACTGTTTTGTGTGCCGCGGTTCGGTTTTGAAACCGAAACCGTTTCAAAACCGCAAAACCAAACCGTTTGATGCGGTTTGATTCGATTTGTGTTTCGGTTTCGGTTTCGGTTCCAAGTGCCCACCCCTAATGAACGGGCAAAACAACAGCCAAATCCAACCCAATAAATAATCGGGTTCAGATTGGGTTGGGTTTAAAGCCTTTTAAGCGGGTTTTTACTTCATTTTAACCTGGTCAATCAAGTTTGAAATCGAATTAAACATGGGTTGATTCAGGATGACCCAATCTAAATTGAACCCCTACCAAACGCGTAGGATCGAAGTTCAACCTAATGTCGTACCACGGATAAACAGAAAAAATTCCAGGAAACTTGTTCACTATAACGGCACTGATAGAAACATACAATGAGCATAATTATTCTGCTTTTCAAATTTGATTCTGCCCATGTCTTCAAATCCATGTATTAAGCATTTCATATCCAAACACCCCCCAAAAGCCAAATGAAAACCAAGATTTCGTTCAACAATATACGCGGATCAAATGAAACTGTTCTATCTTTTCTACATTTTGGAGCCACCTGCTATATCGACTCCAAAAACAAAGCTTCTTGTTTGCTGGTAAGCCCGAGTTCATTCAATGTCAATGCACTTTCTCCATCGCTAAAAGCGCGCCTGGGGAATGGCCTCACCTGTTTACCAAGATGTTTAGTATTCACAGCATTCAAATGCAGTTTTGTTCTATTTTCTCCATGAAAACAACTAAAAATCGATATAAAATTTTGCAAAGATTGATAACATGGGCTTACGGAAAGTGAAATGGGTATTCAATTAAATGCAAACATTGCTCACCACTCTGTAAGAGCCGGGTTTGACCCTTCTGCCAATATCAATAAAGTCGAAAAGAGACTGCAAACAGAATCAAACTCTGGTTTAGCGAGGATGGGCAAAGTGATGATTCAGTTAAATACATGTACATTCACAAAATTTTACCTGCAGCTTGTCTGTCCTGAGAAATCGACGCCCATGGCGGCTACCATCTGGCATTCGCACCAGTAGGGTTACAGCATTCTCATCATCTGATGCTGGTTCTTGAGGGAGAGTAGCTTCTTTTGCTGCTAATTGTCTCTCCAATTCCTGCAAGGAAGGATCATAGAGAATAAAGATATCAGCAGCTTTGAAAGTAGAACTCACCAAAAAAATGAGTTGTCCATTACTGATGACGAGGAATGCGCTAGTGTCTGAAAGAAATATGAGCAGGGCCCAATTATGTCTCAGTACATACAAACATAAGCGGTGGATGCACATTTTTCATATTACAGTACTAATTGCCCACCATATTTGGGAAATGTAATCCCATCTGAGTAGAAAAGGTTCAATCATATTCATATCAAAACAAAAACTAACACTAAAGCCATGGATGAAAACCAGAAGTTCCAAAATGCTTAAATTAGCAGTCTTCTATTACATAAAAGTAAACTAATTCTTTTCCATTAATTTCTTTGATTCAGTCTCCATAATAAACTGTCATACCTAATTCCGGCTGGCTTCAAAATACAGAAATACTATATAATTCATTGGATTACAAACTACTAGTCATTTTCCATCTCAAATGTCAAAAAGCTTGAAATTTTATTGGCATAAATCCTACAAATATTTATAGAGAAGTGGCTCCATTCATTCCCATCCTAAATTTCAAAATACTCATTCATTCTAAAACTCCCACTTCTTATCATTTTTCAATTTCAAAAATGAAGAACAGAAACACAAAAAGTAAGGGTGGTGAACTTTTCAAATGTTGAGACTTGGAGAATAAAAGTTTGAAAATAAAAGAAAAATAGGATAGTAAAGAAAATGTTAAAATGCCACATATGGAGTAGAGCCACTTTTCAGAGAACTCACAAAACAAATTAAAATAAATGAATGGAGAAAAATGGTACTGTTTAGAGCTGAGTTACTTAACCATACAAAATACTGCTAATTAGATTAATTTAGAAGGAAATATAAAGGATGAACAATCTTTGCAAGAGGGATAGACACAGAAAAAGGGAGTAACATAACCAGCACCAGATAATCTAAATCTAAGCAAACATGTGTGTGTGTGTGTGTGCATATAGTACCTGCTCCTCCTTGATTTTCCTTCGAGACTCTTCCTCTTTTAGTCTGTCTTCTTCACGACGAGCTTCAGCTTCCTCAATAGCCTTCAATTCTTTTTCTCTGTCAGCTTGAAGTGATGCAAGATATTCATCGTCCTGCATGTATCAAGTAAGTACAACCAGTCACACCACTTTTGGTGGCCAACTTTCAGACATTATTTCTGGTATTCAAACCTGTTGTTCACGTATCAACCGCTGTGCTGTAAGAGAGGGTGAAGGAGGACGAGGTGATGGTCGGACGTATGAACTGTCAGGCCGCATAAAATGATGTGGTGTGTAGGGACGGTGATATCCAGTCCCTTCAGGAATTCCACCAAACATTGCAGCCTCAAGCATCACTGCTTCGTCGTGCTCCTCTGAAGAAATTCCTCCCCACTTCAATTACAAAAACAAGGCCAAATTAATTGGTGTAATATGATTAATTAACAAAAATTTCAGAGACTCATTCAGAAATTCTAATAACTTACAAGGGAAGATACCTCATCTGAAGGGAAGTCACCGCCATTGTGCCTAGGATGATTATCCATATCCTGCTCTTCAGGACTTGAAGGTGCACTATCCTCATCAGCTCCAACTTCTTTTGCAGTCTCCACAGAGCCAGAAGACATGCGCCTGGACCTGTGTCTGACAAGAGGCTGCTCCTCCACATCTTCAGTTTCTTCTTGGATGGATGAACTTCCTGCCTCCAACCTAATTCACCCACACCACCCTCATCAGGAAAAACGTGTATAACACTCCAAAAGTAACACAAGATATATACCTTCCATTTGATGCTGCTAAATTTTCCAGCTCCACCTCTGCTGCCTTAGAAGCCCCAATATATGATACGCCAACATTTTGTCCCTGGCCATGCAATGCTTTCTCTTGCTCTGCTGTCTGGACTCAGTTCATGTTAAACGATATAATATGGATACCACTAAGGAGAATTAAAAAAAAAAGGAAAGCAAACCTTCAGTGACAATGAAACTGCATGTGCAAGTTCAGGATCCTCTAGCTGAGGTGGCCTTTGCTGAGGTTCATTTTCATCAAACTGTGAGATCAAGAAGAGAATCAATACAAAGACAATCACTTAGTATATATACCATAAACACAGGGTCCAACTCAACAGCTGTAGGCTATTGTCACATACATTTGGAGCACCAAATTGTTGATTTGGTTGGTTTTCTTCAACTTCCTGTTTTGAAGCCTCGATTGCAGCTCGAATCATTTCTTCTTCAATATCATTGCTATAATCCTGCGGATCATCAAATCGAGGAGCACTAGATCCAAAATTTCGGTGATGATATCCATCACCTGAAGAGATATCTTGCGGTCCACTCCTTTGCCCAGCCTGAACAGCTGGGGCAGCTTGAATATCGTCATCATCTTCCTCATCGATTATAACAGTGCCAGGGATACCTGGGCCATCTGCCTCCTCTGTTCCAGTGACATCATCAATGATAGGAGCATGGCCAGAATGGCCAGATGGATGATCGCCATCTTTGACTTCAATGGGGATCTCCCTCACCTCTCTTGGATGAGTAACAAATGGTGTACGGTTTGTAAAATGTGTACCACTATCAAATATGGTTCTACCAAAATCTGGAATAAGAATAGAAAAGGGATTCACATCACCAGTTGCAGATGGAAGCGATAAAGGATCTCTCCGAGATCGAACAGGAACCGGATCATCGATATCCATAAAATCGTCTTGAGCTGAAACAGGTGTATCATGCACACTGGACATGAAAAGTCATAAATGTTAAAGCTGGAGACATCATCCAATAGCTGATGATATGTCATACTAAATATTTAATAATGAGCAAAAGCAGATGAAAAGCATACTTCACCGATGTGCTTCTATCTCCTTCAGTAAAGTATGCATTTGCAGCTGCATTGAGATCGCCACCATGCTCCTAATTGCAAGCAAAGACAACAGAAGAAGATCTATGAGAAATAATAATAAAGATTCTTTTTATTTATTCATTTTTCGACTTCGTTGTCTATTAAGTCAAATAGGAAAGAGCTCCCTAAAAAATCCAAGAGACTAAAACACAAACCTACTCAAATAAGAAGCTAAATAGTTCGTTTTGTAATAGTGGTTGGGAGATCATATGAAGGTTGTATCAGATGAAGCTGAAGTGAGTTTTTCTCACCACAAAGCATTGAGGTAAATCCATCACAACTCCAAGAAAAAACAGTTGTACCATAGCTACAACAAGATACATTCAGTCGAAAATTTATGCTTCAAGGGTTCTAATCAGAGACACTTGGCCCGACTTTTCAACACCCAAAAAGTTGTTGAGGTACCAGTCCATTCACAACACCTCCAACTTTTTATCAAACATATAACCAACCGTTCGCTACCCTGGGTACCCATATTTCTAGCATTGAACCAGTCAAATCGAAAACTAATTCTTTAACGGTACAATGGTAATCTCACTGTGCTAAGAAAATCCATCTATTCCTCTACCCACTCCATCCGTTCACAACCCTAACAAAAATATTCAATTACTTTCGTGATCAAACGAGTAGCGCAAGCAACTCCCTTTCTACCTTAGATTTCCAAAATGAAAGAGCCCACCATTTAAGTATAACTTTTCATTAACTTCAGCACAACAGTAGTTGATGAATAATACAATCAAATAGCATCCCAACTAAATACACACTTTATCTCAACGTACCATTAAACTCAAGCCAAAAAACACCATCCCAACAAACTAAAGTCCACATCCAAATTTCAAAAATTCATAATAAAAGATCAATCCAAACACTGCCCAACAAAAAATTCCCAATTAAAATTCATTGCCCAGTGCAGTAAAACCCCTAATAGCAACATTACCCTAGAAATCGAGAAACAATTCGGCGATTCTGATCAAAACCTCAGAAATTAAATTCGGAACTTGAAGAAATTACCTCGAGCTTTTGCACGGCTATGGCTTCGGAAGCGCCGGTGATGCTGATGAAGGTCTCGATCGCTTCCTGATTAGGCCTCGCCATGGAAGAACTTGAAGTAATTTTTTGGAGGTCGGATTCTCAGTGTTTGTGGGTTTTATGAGTCCAATTTTGCTCCGGAGAGATGGTAGTAAATAAATTAGCGAAGAGATATTTTTGTGTGGAAAATATGGGCTGTATTTGATGTGTTTATGCATATAGAGGGGGGAACTAAGGCCGCGTTTGGATGAGAGTTTATTAGGGATTTAGAAACTATGGAAGTGCTTTTCGGTCGTCCTTCTCCAGTCTTCTACGTCTCTCTCTTTGGAGGGTAAAGCATCCGGGGGACACATCACCACGACCACACCGGGATGACTTGTTGTCTAAGCAGGCTATAATGGACACATCGACTAGGGCTACGGACGAGGCTCTTTTCTTTTAGAAAAGAAAAAAGACGATGCGAGTAAAAAATTTGTAGTCTCAAAACTCAGTGGGTCGAAAATTTTGAGTTTAGTTTTAATGCTAGAATCAAATTTATGTGGTACGTGAAAAAACTTCAGCTCAATAAGGGTGAGTTTTTTTTTTTTTTTTTTTCAAACAATAAGGGTGAGTTTAATTCTTATAAAACATGACTCTTACCACTATTAAATAAGTGTTGTGTTATGCACACACTCATTTTTACTTTCTACATATCTTTGTTAATTTATGTTTGTTGATTTTCTTCCATTCATTCAATTCGATGGTAAAAAATTAAAAGGGTACATTAGAAGTAAAAAATATTGTGTGAATCGCACTACCTTTAAATAAGGGGTGTGATATCCACACCCCTTTTTACTTCTCCCACATCTTTTTGGTTTTCGGCTTTCTGATTGGATGAATTAAAGAAGATCAACGGACATAAATTAACAAAGGATGTAAGAAATAAAAAGGAGTGTGTAGATAGCACATCCCTCAAATAATTGTGCTATAAGAGCACAACTCACGTAAGACAATGTGAAAGGCTTTTAGCTTATTGGAAGGTAGAGTTGGACGTTAAGTTTTGATTAAAATATGTAACAAATAAATTCGTTCCAATATAACAAGAAAAGGTAAGTTGAATTGCCGTTATGACCATTTTTTATTTTTTGTTTTCACTTTTTTTGAAAATTTAAAAACCAAAATATTGTTTAGTAATTATTTTCAGTTTTCAAAAAAAAAAAAAAAAACTAAAAACTACTCCCTTGAGTTTTCACTTTTTGATTTTCAATTTTCATTTTTTAAAATAAAACTTAAAGTACTTACAATACAAGATTTTAGTTCTCAATTTTCAAAAAAGTGAAAAGTGAAAACCAAAATCTAAAAACTGAAAAACAAAATGGTAATCAAACGGTCCTAAATTTTAGTTGTAAAATTATAAAGGAAATAATATTGCATGTGGTGTTAAATCCTTATTCTCGCAATTTAATGAACTTAATATAATTATCATATCGTTTATCAAACAAATAGATAAAACAGTATGTCCAGTTGTACCAAAACTCTAATTGTTTGAGGAGACTTTGTGTACATATATCATAAACCACATGTGTTAGAAAAGAGAATTACTAAGAAGAGCATATGTCTAGTTGCACAAAATCTCTATTTTATAGAAGGATATTCTAAGTCAAACTCCCATAAATCAAACAATCGCTTAATGAAAAAACTACTAAGACTATATTTTGTATTATATTTGTGTACCACTTGATGAGACAAATATTAAATAGTGTAAATTCATGTGAATCAATGATTTTTTTCTTTCAATAAATATAGATTATATAAATAATACTACAATGTGGTTATCAAATATCATTCGGTATTTTGTGAAATTTTATGGTCAAATGATTGATATTCCAATCCTTGTTTATGTTGTTAATACCATGACAAAAACATTACTGTGTTAAAGGTAGGGCAAACAACACCACAAAATGATTACGATTGTTACATGTTTAACAACCACGGTTCTTCGGTTTGGTAGAACATTGCAAACTGTATTCTAAAACTTGAGCACTCAATATGTAAGTTGTTTTTATTTTTAAGGGGCAGTTTGTTTTAGGTCACAATGTAACGACTCGTCCCCAATTTTTAAGGTTTTTACAATTTTAATACGTGAATTCACGAAAATGTCCTTTGAGGCAAAGACGTTGACTTTTCTTGACTGCCTTGTCGTGTCACGTAAGATTTGTTTTCTTTGTGTATTTTTGTAGTACTCGTCGCTATGGACGCATGGGCACAAACGGAACGCAATTTGGAATTATAACGAATAAGATATTAACGTTTAAAATTTGGGACATTTTAATAAATTAATTAATTTCAAGAAAGCTCCAGATTTTTGGAGCAAAATTTGGAAAGCCACATGTGTGGCCCAGATTAAAAGGAAGAAAAGATGGACGGTGGAGATGATAGATAAAAGAGAGAAAGGAGGGGTGGGACGCCCATTTAGAAGATGAGAGAGAAGAGAGTGACCAATGGGAGAGGAGAGAAAGGAGAGAAAGGAGAGAAGGGGAGAAGAAGAGGAACACGGCGGGTTCCTCTTGACCCATACTCGACCAGGCGGCATCCATGTTTTCCGATGCCATTCAGGCGATTTTTCCGATGAATCACGTCCTACCACCACTATTAAACATCTACCCGAACTCCCCTCGTTCATTTCCACCCATAATCCACCTAGTTTGACCCCGTTTTGAGGAAGAACGAAACCCGTGGGTTCCGAATGTGTCACGACGGAGATCCACCCATCATGAAAGCATCCTCGACCATTACCACCATCAAACCACTCACCTTGAACCCAAGAACAAAGCCCAAACAAGTTTGGAGGCGTTGGAGTTCGAATCGAGGTCGAATCAAAGCGACCCAAATCTAGGGTTCAGACGGGTTTTTGTGAAATTGGGGCTTTTCTCAGCCAAATTGGACTTGGCCACATGTATAAAACTTACTCACTGAGATCTTCATTTATGTGAAGTTTGAGAATTTTTAGAAATAGTTAATTTTTTCGGCGAGTCCGGGCAACCGACCGCTGTGTATGGTAGCACATGGGCCGAGGCATTCCTTGACCTTCCTAAACTAAGTTTGATACCCCAATTCCATAGGTGAAGTTAGATTGATGAAATCTTATCTTATGAGCATAGTTTTGATAGAATCTGCCACTTGATTATTATAGCAATCGACGATCCGATCATTGAATCGTCACCAAACTTTAATACATTATAATACGTAATATATGAGGATCATAGGAACTTATGGATTGAGAATCTGATATACGGATCTTCCTGAATTGGATTTGTAAGCTCGTAAAATAAAACGTTAACCGCCACTTGAATTTACAATTGGCGGATATCCAAACGTTGGATTGTAATGAAACTTTAGTATGATGTTTTAAAAGCATAATGTGGATCTTTGGAAGTTATGGATTGGAAATTTATGATGCAGATCTTCCGAATCGAGTTACGTAGGGTTGTGGACCCTATCGTCGATTTTTGACCGACGGTTGACTTTTGGTCAATGAGTCCTAAATCACTTTAGAACATCCTTAGAGATGTGTTTTTATGTAAGTTATGTGTTCTTTCGATAAGAATTCTGAGACGTGACTATTTGTTCTAGGCGATGATTATTCGGGATGCCTCAATATTTGTGCTAAGGAGTTGTAGCGTGAACCTCAAGTGAGTGGGCATTTGTTATATATATAAGCTTTGATATTTCCAAAAAATGTTTTTAAATAAATTTATGCTTTGTATGCCATGTCTATACCGCTTATTACTATATTGTTGCATTAGTATGAATTGTGAATTATATTATTTGATGTTGCGGAGGCTCAGGTAAGCTTCAGGTGAGTTAGCATGTGATTGGTCTTGTTGCATTGCATATTGCTATGTATTTATGCATTTAAAGCTTATTATACTGCACCTCCCGCCCGAAGCCAAGGCACAACTTTCACGTGATTGTTCACCTTTTGCACCACATGATCACCTTGGATCCAAGTTTTTGTGCTATCTTATCGTACATACCACAATAAGTGGTTCCGACTCGTAGGTGACCTGCAATTTATTGCACAGCTTTCATATGATCATAGCACTTAAGCGTACTTATTTACACCCAGCATGTCGTATAGGTCACATTAAGTGACTCCGACTCGTGTGCAGACATATGTTGATGAGCTACTAGTCCAGTCATACAGGTCACGTTAGGTGACTCCGACTAGCATACTATTTTATATTGGTTTCACACCTGACTTACATTTATTATATTATGACATGGAATACTTCAGTTTTCGCTGGTTTTATGCATTGGTTTTCATACCTACGTAGTATTATTATTTTCTGGAAACTATACGGGTTTTACGACAAAAGGTTATAATGTTTTCAAAAAGGTTTTTATTAAAACTTTATTTTTAGGCCCACTCACCCTTGTTTTTCACCCATCCAGGTTCTAGTAGCAGAGTTTTCGTACCGACGAGGATTATTGGCAGATCTTGGGCTAGTCGATTACCATCGATGGTATAATTCTCACCCTATTTTACTGTACTATACTTATGTTATGTCATCATGTGTGAAATGGGTTCATACCCGTTCACCGTGCACTCTTGTATTTAGGCACTTTTAGGTTTAAATTTATTCACATTTTCCACATCAATACACTTTATGGTTTTGTCACCTTCCAGATGTCGGCCAACACAGCTCGGTTCGGAGTCATAGTGGACATACCAGGTCGGGGTGTGTAACACAATATATTTTTAATATTAATACTGAGTTGATCAATATTTTGTTCTTTTAAGTAGAAGTTGATAAAGAGAAATATTTTTTTAAACAAATGATAGTATCGGGGTGGAGTAGTGGGCTAAGTCTTACAATAAGCTTACCATAATAATGTGGTTTAACTTCACATTTGGCGAGAATTGAACCTAAGTCCTCTAGAAAAGCAGTAGAAAAGTAGAAGCAATGTGTTTATACCATACTTAGGGCCTCCGTATTTAGATAAATACTCGGGGGACTCAAATGTAATTATGTAATAAAGGAATGGGCAAATATGTAATAAGTGAGGAGCCCTTATTTTATAAAAAGACCCCTCTCCCTCACAATTGGGGGGAGGCTCACTCTCACCCTCGGAGACCAATTCTTAGGCCATACCCTCACCCTTTCAGAGCTCTCATCATCACAGAGAAGTTCTCTCTCTCCCTCTTCAACATATCAGAGAAATACAATAATCAGTGTGGACGTAGCCCAAACATTGGGGTGAACCACGATACATCTTGTGTTATTTACTTTCTTGCAGATTCACGGTCGGATTTACGTTGTTCCAAGACTTCCGGTTTTGTGTATCAACATTTGGC